GTCTGGCAATAACAGAGTAGCAACCGTGGGCGGTCAATCAAGCTCAAGCTCATTTCGTCAGCACATCCTTCTGTATTCATGTTTACGAAAAACGACAGCGAGGCACAAACATAATGCCGGGTTCTTTTCCGTTCAACAACGGAAACAACAAATATTCGCGTTTGAAATATTTAAAATACACCAAACGTCATAATAACAAAATTGGAAACAAGGTGCACTACATTGCGCATGATGGTTAATCAAGACATCAATCGAAAGGTGAGCTCTGTGTTGCTTGAAATATTAAATACATTTACCGAGACATTTACATGTACATATTGCGAAGTTTTTCTTCATTTAGACTCGAGTGATTTTCTCATATTTTGCTATCGATTTTGCTCTCACCAATTCCATCTTGGAACATATATGACACTTGGTTTCCATGACATTTCTTCTGATGTTTACTTTTGACTCCTTTGTTCCAAACCAGTTTCCGTGCGACAAGGACAAAGCCACAGAAGATTTTGGCAGCTTCCACATTTCGCCGAGAAAGTCTAAACATTCATAGAAACCACAATTGGAAGATTGCCGCAAAAGAACAACGCAGATGTCGCCACTGCATGATGATGATAATGTTGACAAACTGCATATAAAATTCGTGAAAAATAGCATTAAATCATAATTTTCATCAAGCCTGTGGGGGGCAACTTAGCTCCCTTAGCTCAGTCGGTAAAGGCGCAGCTACAAAGCAAGACCATGCTGGAGGTGGCTGGGTTCGATTCCCGGTCTGGTCTAGGAATTTTTCGGGTTGGAAAATTTCTCGACTTCCCTGGGCATAGAAGTATGATTGGACTTGCCACACAATTATACCAATACAAAAATGGTACAGGCATCGAAAGCTCTCAATTAATAACTGTAAAAGTGCATCTAGAACACTAAGTTGAGAGCACGCAATAAGCTAATATGCGATATGCAATAAGCTTGAAATGCGAAGAAGAAGAAGAAGAAGAAGGGGGGCAACCCCGGCATAGTGGTTAACAACCAAACCTCTCACGCCAAAGTCACGAGTTCAAATCTCACTCCCGGACAAGTCAGGAATGACCCAAGAGTGTTAAAATGACTATAATAAAAAAAACAAACCTTCCAATATAACATTCGAATTGAAGAAGAAAACATTTTTACGATGTGCATCTTTGATTTTTCCAGATGAACTTTCATAAGATATATTAATTTCATTTCACTGCTCCATCAATGCTGCATCGTAAATATGATGTAAACAGAAGTAAATTGCTCAATTACTCAAAACAAAGATGATTTGTCATCTTGTTATCACTTTGAAGACCATCTAGCACCATTTTATAGTATGGTGCGTGTTGAGTAAATTAAGTTCCGGTGCGTTTTCCGTCGAAAATTGTGAGTAAAGGGTGTCCACGATTAAATTGCCACACTATGAAATTGCTCTATTTTTTTAACCGTTGGGTAGAATTTAATGAAAATTTGGGTGGATTTAGTTCATAGTGCATTATTTACATCCTGCAAGTTTTAAAGTCCTGTGATCAAAACTCGCGGAAATGGAGTCGAAAGAACAGCTCGTGCGTGATAAAATCTTGCGCATTCATCACGAGAACAAGGATCTCTCGCATCGTTCCATCGCTAAAACGTTGGGAATCGTGAATTCCACGGTGTCGCGAGTGATTAAGCGGTTCGAGGAACGGTTGACCACCGATCGGAAGCCCAGAAGTGAAGGAAAAAGTATTCCGTACAACACCAAAAATCACAACCGCGTAGTTGGGGCCTTCAACCGAAATCCGAACGCCTCCGTTAGGGATGTGGCTAAGAAGCTGCACCTAAGCCGAAGTTTTGTCCAGAAGGCCAAAACTAAGGCTGGGCTTCGAACGTTCAAGGTACAAAAGGCCCCTAATCGCGACGAGAAGCAGAACAAGTCCGCCAAAACCTGTGCCAGGAAGTTGTACCTCAACATGCTGACGAAAGTTGAATGCTGCATCATGGACGACGAAACATATGTGAAGGCCGACTTCAAACAGATCCCCGGCAACCTGTTTTTCACGGCCAAGGATAAGTTCAGCGTTCCGGAGCATGTCCGCACTCAGAAGATGTCCAAATTTGCGAAGAAATTCCTGGTTTGGCAAGCCATCAGCACGTGCGGGAAGCGGAGTGCACCTTTCGTGACCCAGGACACGATGAACGGACAGGTGTACATAAAAGAGTGCCTCCAGAAGCGGCTGCTTCCTCTCCTGAAGGCCCACAACGTCCCAACAATCTTCTGGCCGGATTTGGCCTCATGCCACTACTCCAAGGACGTGCTGAAGTGGTATGCGGACAATAAGGTCAATTTCGTGCCGAAAATGTTCAACCCTCCCAACACTCCGGAGCTCCGCCCCATCGAGAAGTACTGGGCGATTATGAAGCAGCACCTTCTTAAACGACCTAAGGTAGTGAAGACAGTCGAGGAACTGAAGAAAGTATGGGTTTACATGCAAAAAACGGTTGATTCACAGGTTGTGCAGAATCTTATGGCCGGGGTTAAGGCCAAGGTGCGGGCATTTGCGTATGGACTGTAAATAAAATACAAGTAAAATGGTAAAATGAAGTTTAATAGTTATTTCTCAATCCCTGAAAATTTGATGGCAATCGGATGAAAACTCGAATTTTGCGAATCAATTTTGTGTGTGGCAATTTCATCGTGGACACCCTTTACCAATATGTTTACTTGAACAAGGCCAAAATGAACATTTATTGAATATTGGCGTCCTATACAACCAATTCTCTATTACCACCAACATGATACAACCTTTCCTAAGTAAATTCACTTAATTTCCACTTTCATCTTAGTGGAAATCGCACATATTCACCATTTTCCGAAAAATGCAGCTGCGCCGGAGGTAACCTCTCCCTGTGGGTGCAAACCATGGGGTAAGTCACACAGCACATTTGCCGGAATTATATTCTACACAGCTTGGGCACATCCATCGGCACATTTTCGACATACCTTCGACACAATCTCGTAGGCATTAGATTGGTGTAAATAAAATGGGAGCACTGCTGGATAACTGTCATTGAAGTTGTTAAGAACATTACGTGCTGTTTGACTGTATGTTCAGGGTCATCTTCTAATTGAATATACCAGAGAAACTCAGACCAGCAGTTCACTTATAGATCTAAATACGAAATGTAGGTTCTAGAGTAGACTCAAGAGAAAGAGGCAGTTAATCAGACCTCATCAGTACCCTTAATTCAAATACTGCTGCAACTCACACAAAACAAACTAAAGAAGTCTATTACCCTCTATAGTCGGTCTTCAACAATACTCCCCAGCGGTTCCAACTCTTTCCGGCCGAAAGGCTAGGTTTCTGGTTTGCCTTTGAGGGCATTATAAAACACTAAAACACAGAACTTTTATTACCCTATGGATCACAAAACACCGAAATTTCGCACACCCGCCACATCCCGCGTCATCCTCAATCCGATTTATTCTTGCTATTTCAAACCAAAACATTCAAGGTGTCAGAAATACCGGGTTGCCGGGATGGGTATTTTACAAACAATCGCAGCTTGCTCTATGACCGGCACAATCAGCATACTTGCGGCACACTGACAAAAAAGATGACCCAAAATTGGTGTGCGGAGTGACCTACCTCTTGGTGCAAACTTGTTATGCATAATTTGCCATGAAAACATCTCCGATCCATACCGAAATAATAACAAATAGTTTTCAAACACGTTTTCTTACACAATTCAAGCAAAAGTTTCCACGGGAAATTATTAGTTTTTCTTTATGACCGATTTGCCCCAAAAAGCATCTGTTTTACTTGGAAAATTAGGAAACTATCCTCCTTCTAGTAGTTCTCACTTCGAAATGTAGCTGGTGAAAGCTTGGAAAAGTTTCACTGCAAGACGCCAATATGAAGTCTCGTATTAAATGAGTTTATAGTTTGTTCTGTTCGTTCTGTCATACCTCCCGTCAGTTGTACCGTTGTACCGCTGATAGTTTGCCCAAAAATGTCAAAGCTACGAGCTACGGTACACCCATAGAGACATCTATATGTGGTTGACAGGGATAGAGTTCCTCTGTTGACTTCAAACATGAAGTATTGGGATATTTTCCCAGAATGTCACGCTTCCTTTGCTCTATCAAACGATGCGTTGCACTTACTCGCAGTTTATACCCCGTTCACATTACAGCCTATATCACGTAATATAGGCTGTCTTGCAATGAGCACTCATACATAGGATTTCCAGTGAAAACTACACAGCAAAAAAATAATTTTGATATCACGTCAAAGTGGATGCACTACAATCATGTCGAAAATATGGTGTAATATTACTTGCTAAAAAGGACAAAATTATCATTAATACAATGCATGAACTGACATTGCGTTGCTTTTACTGCATTTCTTTATTTATGTGGTCATAAAAATTACATGAAATTTTCGACATGATTGTAGTGCATCCACTTTGATGTGATATCAAAATTATTTTTTTGCTGTGTAGATGTATGAGTGCTCATTGCAAGACAGCGTATATCACGTGATATACGCTGTAATGTGAACGGAGTATTACTCGATCCTTATTGGGAATAACATTGTGGCCTTTCATTAGGTGCGGTTTTTCATTTCGAAAAGCAAAGGCCGCGTGAAACATTGTGCAAAGGCTCTTTTGAGAAAATCCAAAAAGCCGTGCGGTGTATCAAATACGCTGAATTTTACAATACACACGTAGAAATACCTAATCTTACACGTGACTGAATCCATCTTTGGCATAAAGGATAAGACGTAAACAAACATGTCATGTAAAATTAAGTGCTCCGAGACTGAAAAATTCGAAAGCACGTTTGATTGAACTGAATTTCACATCTATTATGACTAAATTTTATGTCAAAATTGACGCTCGTATATGTCAGTCTCAGAGCACCTTAATTTACATTAATTTTTCTAAGTGTGCATCACACAGATCTAAGGAACCTGCTTCCAGTGAACAACACATGTAAAGCACACAAAAAAAAACAAACCAACAATGAGCACCTCCAGCCTGGTGCGTCCCGGCCTCACAACCGCCATCGTAGGACACCTACCGGCCATCAAGCTTCGCCTTCGGCGCAAAGTGCCCCAGCTGACCTTTCAAGACGTCCGACGGGTGCGGGCACGCTTCTATGAAGCTCTGGCCAGTGAACTCTACGAATCCGGTTGCCCCAATGCAGCCTTTCTCCTGTTGCAATTGATCGAGTTCGAACACGATCACGTCCCGCAAACATCGGACTCGACAATCGAAGAGAAACGTTTGAAAAATTCTAAAAATTTGCTCAACTTCCTGACTGAATCACTGCGAGTGGCCGAGGGTCATAAAAACGAACAGCGCTACGCAGACGAGGTAGAACACCTGCTGATGATTGGACGATCCCTGCAAGATGACCGGCACAAGCGGTGGATCGCTCGGCAATTTTTCCTCATCAGCTTGGATCGGTGCACCGATTGTCAGCTGGAGGGGAGCTGGATTGGGACGAAGACAAAATATTATTATGGGATGTTTTTGAATACGGATAAGAATCTGGATGAGGCTGTAGAAATGCTTGAAACAGCTGAGAATTGGGCACGCGGTCAGAATTGGGCTGTGGAAAAAGAAAAGGGAGCTTTGGGGTCTCAATTGTTGACCACTGAAATTTATCACCAACTGTATTTGGCATATTCGGGAATGTGCGATCGATTTAAGAGAACGGATGCGGAAAAGTTTGATTTGTATATGCAATTGAGCCACGAAGCAGCGATAAAATGTAAGTTTCGCAATCATTTTACTTTCTCATGTTGATGGCTCATTTTTTGTTGTTAACAGGCAATTTGAAACACGTTCTTTGTGACTCATATCTAAATTATGGTGATTTTCAACTCGATCAAGGAAGCTATCATCAAGCTCTCGACAGCTATAGACAAGCTTTAAGAATGGCGAAAAGCATTAAAGCTACCGATAAGGATTGTAAGATCCATATACGAATGGCTGCAGTTTATCGAAGCCTGCATGATCCGAAGGAATGTGAATATTGGATGAATATCGTAGACAAGATGACGGCCGACGATCGCACTTCAGAATGCTACGCTGAGCTGCGGATGTTCAATGGCGAGATCCATTTCGCAAACGGCAAGCAAGCTGAAGCTTTGGACGCCTTCAACGACGCTCGAGACGTCTACAAGAATCTGAAGAAGGAGATCAAAATGATTCAAGCAAGCTGCTTCGGAGCTCTTATCGCTGGGGATACGCATTTCGGTCAGTATGCAAAGTTAGTCAGGAAAGCGGAATCTCGAGGACCAATATCAGAGAACGATAGTCTCTTCAAGCTGCTCCGCTGGAACGTGGATAATGAACCGTTCTGGTAAACTGGTTCCGTTGATGGTGAGAATGGCGATAGAGATCTGTTTCGGTAATAAAACTGTGTTTGGTTCATAAAATCCCATTGGCATGCATTAGAATCAAATCAATTTGATTTTTTTTTAAGAATGTATTCAGTCGTCGCGCTTTAACAAACTTAATCACTAACGATATCACAATCAAGTAATCTGACGGAGACTCTACAAAAATGGGTAATCTGTGTGAAATTGTGGCATTTGACATTCAAAAATTTAAATCGATTCATTAGGTTCAACGTTCGGTGCTGCTTGTCTGCGATCGTTGCCTTGTTATTATCGGTAGTGTTCAACCCACGGAAGAATACTTGCTTTACGATCCACTCTTCCTGACCTGGCCACCGAGCATCATTGAGTGACAAGATCACATTCACCTATAAATTCATGAAGTGATAAGCTGAAACCGATCAATACGAGAGAGCAAATTTTTACGACACCTCTGTGGTCCGAAAGAGAATATTTGGAGAACCATAAAATTCTGTGATCTACAGTGTAGTGTTTCAAGGCTAGTCACCGCCACCGCTGAAAGTGGCAGTTAAACAATCGTAAAATTGGTCCATTTTTAACCGACTGTCCGTCCTATCGCGGACGAGTAAAACGCCTATAAATTGTGATTTGCATTCCAAACTGCTTCCTTTTCCAATTCATATCAATCCATAACGACCGACCGTTGTTCACTGCTATCAATAATACGGTGACCGAGGATTGCTGAAAATTTTGACAGATGAAATTGTTTCACCTTTTGGTTGCCGCCCATCATGGTGAGGATAGGTCGTAAAAGCTGCTATCTTTATAACTTAATATGGGAGCAGCAGAAGTAACATGAACCATTGATAATCTAATAAATATGCACTGTGGCTGACGACTGAGTAGGAGAAAATATCCCCGGGTTAGGAAATATGACTGACCATATGTGTGGGAAATTAATATGCAGTCGATACGTTTCTGTCATCCAGTTTGAATTCGGACCTGCTCGGATCTCTGAAAGGATCTGACGTGACTATTTGATGGAACTGAGTGCATCAATATCCGTTTCCACTTCCAGAGGATATTCTCGCCAAGTTGACACATTGTTTGGCTAAATAGTTCTCTCCGATGAGTTCCTGTAAGTGGAAATTGATGAAGCACGTCGTCGTGGTCTGTAGTCGGTAGCGAAAACCACCAGTAGCATGATCGCAATCAGAAAGCGCATCGAGGATTTCGAATTCACGCACCTGGGGAATATTATCGATCAACAAGGGTTACAGCCAGACCCACCGAAAACCGAGGCAATCACAAAGCAATTCAATTATTGGGTTGTTTAATTTCGAAAAACATATCGGTTGATGTACATCATCTGAAAGAGCTTCGTTTTCTGAACACAACGATATTTTTATCGATCCTATAGACATTCATCTCGATTTTAAGTCAAGATTTAAAGCTTTAATTTTTGAAACTAAATCTATTAAATCTATTATTATTAACAGTTCGCTCCCATACAAAGTCCCAGCAAGGGGCGCTAAGTTGATGATTTTTGCTAATATAACCGTACTTATTTAAAATAGTTCTAGTCTAATCTATTCTAATCTAATACAATCGCAGCCAGTACGAGCAAGCATCCTGGAAAATAATTAGGTTAGATTATGAAATTTTTTTTTCTTGTCAATATTGAGGTCTGCAGCATATCAGAGATATGATACAAACGTCAAATCGGCCAGGCCTACTGCGTTATCTTTGTCGCAAAGATTTTTCTTTGAAATGCTTCGAGTTCGAATTAGTATATTCCAACAGCGATGCAATTCATTAATCTACAGGGGTGCAAGGATGCGTGGACATACCGTACCAAACGCTCGAGTTACTATGTGTTATTATGTGTAATGTGTAAATATATGTAAAAAATTGAGAAAAAAATAAAATGGAAGCATCTTACAAAATTGATCATCATGGGGTTTTGGGATGCAATTCTTCGTCACTGCTCGTTTTTATGTTTAGTTATGTGATGAAGTTCACCTTTTTTCACTATAAGATACAACAACGTAGCGGCGCCGGTGGTGTGATTGCCTCTCACTTCAAAAGGCCTGTGTTCAATCCTAGTCGGCACCGCCGAGATTTTCTGAGGCATTAAATCTCTGATCACGCCAAGGGGTAAGTCACTCATCACATTGTGCCGAAATTATATTCGGCACAGCTTGGGCACATCCACCGGCACACCTTCGGTACAATCTCGTAGGCATTGGATTGTTGTAAATAAAATGGGAACACTGCTGGACAACTGTAATTAAAGTTGTTTACAGCTTTACGTGCCTTTTGATTGTATATTCAGGAACATCCTCTAATTGAGTATACCAGAGCAGCTCAGACCAGCAGTTCATTTCTCGGTTCACTTAGAGATCTAAATACGAAATGTAGGTTTTAGAGTGGGCTCAAGAAAAAGAGGCAGTTAATCAGATCCCATATTCATCACCATCTATAGCCGGTCTCCAACAATGTTCCCCACGGGTTCCAACTTTTTCCGGCCGCTGATAGACCGTTGTTTTTTTCCATAAAAAAAGGCTAGGTTTCTGGTCTGCCTTTGAGGGTGTCGATATCAAAGTAGAGAGCAGTAGAGGTTTCAATTTACTTCGGGCACTTTCTTCACAGATCACTCAATCTTCTGTTTAGTTCAGTTCATTTATTAAATTTTACTTCGTTTCACTTCATTCACTTTATTTGCAGTTCAATTCATTTTACTTTTAGTTCAAACTAAGACAATCCACTTTTATTTTACTTAATTTCACTTAATTTCAATATTTTACAAACTATGGACTTGGTTCACTTTGGTTCTTCACAATCGGTTTCGTCCTCGTTGTCGTAGTCGAGAAAAAGAGAGTTTTTCCCATGCGGGATGGTCCTTTTATACAACGGGGCTATTCATCGGCGGCGGAAAAAGGAAGTAAACAAACGACAACACTATGCTGCATGAGTTACTCTGCTCCGTTGGGACGACAGCGGGGATGACATCTTGTTGGGACGACAAGTCGTAGAAACTCGACGAACGAGGGATCTTTATTAAGGGTGATGATCATTTTCGACAACTAGGCGGCTCTAGTATATTCGTACGCGAACATCCTGGCCCCTTCAGAAATCACTATTTCTGATGGCATGTTGTTGTTGTTGCTCCCGTGCTGGTGATGATTGACGTTGGCGGATGACGTTTACTCTTCCTCGATGTTTACTCTCGTCAGGCGATAGAAGATGATCCAGTCCGGCAGCGAATTGATATTATGGAAAATAGAAGACCCGGTAGAGGGGTTTTACGGATATAATTTGTTGGACAGGGGCTTACCTTGTCCCTAATTAATTAGGGCCTTGTATTTTTATAATTTCAGGTGACTCCGGATGGAAACCAGTGCAACATCGGTGACGGAATTGGTTGAAACGATGACTTATTGTTGGTGTTTTGATTCTGCTTCTGGACGAATGGTTTGTTTTGTTGATTTCTCGTTGGATGATGGAATCGGTAGTAAGCAAATCTTGCTAACGGGGCGAGTGTAGGTGCCGTGGGCGGTGCGGAGAGTGACCACCCGTGTGTTTCCGTCTGCTCCAGGATGTATTTCTACGATTCTCGCTGTTGGCCAGGCCATAGGCGGAGTTTTTTCGGCCATAAGAAGGACTAGTTGACCCTTCTCCAATACGATTGGCGGATTGCACCACTTCGTTCTCGGTTGCAAGGTGGCTAAGTACTCCAAGTGCCACCTCTTCCAGATGATTTGGAAGTTCTTCTGGATTTGCTGCCACTTGGCTAATCGGTTGCTTGGGATTTCGGAGACATCAACGTCTGGAACAGATTTGAGCGCAGACCCGATCAAAAAGTGTCCAGGAGTAAGCACGTCGAAATCTGTCGGATCGTCGCTCAGAGGGATAATCGGGCGTGAGTTTAAGCAGCATTCTATCTGCGACAACAGCGTCTCCATGTCGTCGTGAGCGAGTGTGCTAGTGCCAAGAACCCGCACAAAATGCTTCTGCGCGGATTGGATTGCTGCCTCCCACAGACCACCAAAGTGTGATGCCTTGGGAGGGTTGAAGCGCCATCGGATGCCGTGGGATGCACATTCGTCTGCGATAGCTCTATGGTGTTCCTTGCTTTGGATTATTTTGCGTAGCTCGTTAGCTGCACCGATGAAATTCCGCCCGTTGTCGGAATAGATTTCGTTGCAAAGTCCTCGTCGTGCTACGAAACGTCTGAGAGCCTGCAAGAACTTGGCGGTAGTCAAATCGGCAACCAGTTCCAAATGTACCGCCCGAGTCGAGAAACAAACAAACACCGCGACGTAAGCCTTTCTGGGAGCGGCGCGACGGTGTGGGGGTTGGAGTGAAATTGGACCCCAGTAATCGATGCCGGTGATGGAAAATGGTCTGCTTGCTGTAACTCGTGAGGCAGGTAGCTCTGACATAAACTGCTGCAGCAGTTTTGGACGGGCTCTTACACAGGTGACGCAATTGTGGACGATAGTTTTTGCCAGGTTTCTGGCCCCTGTGATCCAGTATCGCAGGCGGAGGATATTGACCAGAAGCTGAGGGGCGGCGTGCAGATGCTTTTCATGCAGCGAACGAAGTAGAAGAGTGGACAAGCCGTGCTTTGCTGGCAGGATAATTTGGTGCTTACTATCGAAAGGTTGAGGGGCTTGATTTAGGCGGCCGCCGATTCTCATTAGTTGATCGCTGGCGATAAAGGGTTGAAACCAACGGAGCTTGGATTTGAGCGAAACTGGTTGTAATATTTGTAGAGTTTTCCATTCTTCGTTGTAGGACTGTTGCTGGACCAATCGGATGATGGTAGCTTCAGCTTCTCCAAGTTCTTCTGAGCTGAGGAAGGATTGTGTTGTTTGTGCAGATGGCTTGCAGTTCCGTATGAACCGGCGACAATATGCGACGACGCGTAGAAGACGGAAGTAGTTCGAAAACTTGCTCACTAGTACATCGACGAACGAAGGCTCGGTGGTTATTGCAGTCGCTGCCAGTGGTAGTTTGCGTGCTTCGGGA